TTGACGAGCCAACTTCTGAAATTAATCACCTACATAAAACATCACTCCAGTCAAATAAGAGCATTGTTTAGCAACGTGACTCAGGCTTTCGCTTCAAATGTCTGGAACTGTCAATTATGTTATTAGAAGAGCAAAGTTTTCAAAGCTGCTTATTAAAGACTTTACAAAAAAGTATGATTTTTTGAAAATAAAATATTAAATCATAGGATGCATGCCTTTTGTACAGTTTTAGTTCAAAGAAGAGTGCATTTCTATATGGTCTTCTTCTGCAAATGGATAATTCCTATACCAGATGAAAACATGTGAACTCTCCGTGATCCTTCTTCTGGGACACATATCCCTGATATGCTTGCAATGTTCTCTTGAAGGCCTCCCAAGCCATTATTGAGATTGAATGAGAATATCTCCATATCTCCAGACTTGGGGCAATTAGTAGCAAAGGCTCAACCAGAATGACCACAGAAATGCTGAGAATGCAAACAGAAGGGCGTAAAACTGACAAACAACATGCTGAGATGACCAAAGATGAAAAAAAGCTGTTATGTTGGATGTTTTTTTGTTTTTTTTGTCCACATAGAACCTAAGAAGCTGATATGTATTATAATGATTAATATTTCAACAACTTTCAGCATGACTACAAGCAGAACATTTAGGACAAACTCAAAGTATGTGACACAAGGCAAATTATTTAAGAGTCGGTTGATGGAAGACCCGAAAAGGAAAGCTGACAAACGGAGACGTTTTCTGTTAAATGGAGATTAAATAGGTTTTGCCTGTGTTGCAATTAATTTTATAAATGCTTTTAATAACTAAAAAAAATAAACAGACAATAACAAAACTCCAGAGATCATCTCCTTCCTAATACACCACCTGAACATCATCACATTCCCCCAGTTTACTGACTTTGTTAATCATTTAGCACAATAGTCTTTCACTGATACCCAAACAACTCTATTATTATTAAATCAGCCACTTTAATTCCTTCATCACTTTTTTAATTTTGCAGTTTTGATCATTTCGTGGTATTTCATCCCGTTGCATCGTTGGTACAGACATCTGATTTCCTCTGGATGTTTTGCACTGACTATGCATCAACTCATACCTACCAAGGGGCCATTTCATCCTTTTCTTTTTAACAATTTGTTTTATGAGCAAATTTTTATACTTGGATTACTTTTTGGTTGCTTTGGCTGAATGTTTTAGGTCATTGTCCATTTGCATTATGAAACACCATAAACACATCAATCTGTTTGACTACATTTAACTGGATTTGAACACCTCAGAACTCAATCGACTGTTTCTGTCCTATAATCATTATCACTAGTGTCTCAGCGCCACTGACAGCCATAAAGACCCATGTCATCCCTCTTCTTCTGCCATATTTTACAAATGGTGTAGTACGCTTTTCATCAGGAGCTTCTCTCCACCTTCTTCATACTTTTTTCTTAACATCATTTAGGTAGAGGTTGATCTTGGTTTCGTCTGTCCAAAGAAAGTTCTTCCAGAGCCGTGCTAACTTTTTTAGATGTTTATTGCAAAATCCGATTTAGCTTATTTTATTCTTGAGGGTAATGACTGGCTTGCACCGTGATGTGAACCCTCTGTTTGCTTTCATGCAGTCTTCTTTTTATGGTTGACTTGGATATTGGTATGCCTACCTCCTGAAGGGTGTTGCTCATCTGGTCGGCTGTTGTGACGGAGGTTTCTGGAAATGATTCTGCGATCATCCATGTTCTCCTCCACGGACATCCAAGTCATTCAGTGCTTTCTTTCTTTATCAGGATGTGGCAGACGTTGAATTTTTCCACTTCTAGTGTTGCAGCAATTTCTCAAATATGTTTTTGTTGTTGTTCTTGCAGCTTAGCAAACATTGTTTGTTTCACCTGCATGTAGAGCTCCTTTGTCAGCATGTTGTCTGTTTACAGCAAAATCTTCCAAATGCGAACACTACACCTGAAATCAACTACAGGCCTTTAATCAACTTAATTGATAATGGCACGACAAAGAAACTGCCCACACCTACTCATGAAAAAGCCTTTGAGGCAATTGTTCAATTACATTTGGAGCTTTAAAAAGAAGATGGCAAGGAGCTGAAACTCCTAACCCTTTCATCCAATTTTGAATGTGGATACCAGGAGAGACTGAGCGTTAAACCCAGGCTCATTATGTAAGTATGATTGAAATGTTTAGGTAAACAGAAATCTGGTAAGCCTGTCAGTGTCTGAACAATTTATAATACATATAACAAAACCAAGATAAGAACCAACGAGACATCACACAGGAGGAAGGGGTTATGAAGTCAACCACTGAAATCCAAAAAGTAAGTGAAATGACATGGACAGGTGATTTTAAAGGTTATAAAATGCTTATGACTAATGCATTGTGGAGGTGATCTCATATGAAAATACATATGATCTAATTCCGCATCAAAACTTAAAATAAGTGCATTTTCCTGATTTAGTTTTCTTCTACCAAATTAGCACGTCTCATTTGGGAATTTCCAACAACATATAAAGGGCATAAAATGAGATATATAAGTGATGAATGCACATTAAACTTCATTTAATTTTGGAAATGAACAAATATAATGATACAAAACAACTGAGCTGTTTGCTGCAGGGACTTTTTAAGCTGCTAGAGAAACACACTAATTTCCTTGCTTACAGACTTATGATGTCAGAGCACATTACAACAACCGTTTTTGACCAAGCAGTTGTTTGCAAATCCGTGTATGGGTTTTTGCATTACATATTACACCAAATGTTGTCTAGTAGTAAAGCAAAAGTGTGTAGTACATGTCTACACAACTGATATCAATGCGTGCATATTGCTCTGTCACAGTTTTCCAACTTAAAAGTACAATATTTAACAGTAAAAACATGAACTGTATTACTTGACTGTTCCAACCACTACTAAAAAAAACATTCAACAAATCTGCTAGACGTTTCATGACAATATCTCAAATAAATGCATCAGCCTTTTTTTTCTTGTAACTTAAGGGGTTAAATCATTTCTCAGCTTTCAATGTAAATTTACGGACTTGGTTATTAGCGAGGTTCGGTTTTTAAAACGCAGCAGCTGTCTAGTTCGATCAGAGTCAATCGTTTTGTTTCGACATGCTTTATTAGACATTTTGCAAATGTACCTGCTACTTGTGCAAATTATAACACGACCTTATGAACTCAAGTTATGTCTGAGTAAGTATTATGGATTAGTTTGTTTGTTTTTTTACCCTGAAGGATGATCATATGACGATCGTATGACCTTGAACAATACAGTCCACCAGAAAATTAAGTGTTTTACAATTCCCTCTTCAGTTGTTGAAGCTTATCTAATTAATCTGCCAACATTTTCACCCGCAAAATGGACAATCAAGTAACACACCACCAGAAACAACAACAAAACAGCGTTTTTACACCTTAACTGAGAAGCCAATAAGCAAACGGTGAAGAAAGATGGTTGCGGCGTAACACATGCAATATTACGACCAAACTCTTACCCAGCTTGTTGCAATGTGTTGCTGCTCTGAGTTCCCTCAAATGAACTCAGGTCGGCGTGAAGTCCAGCAGTCGGCTCCGCATTAGCTAGCTATGCTACAATCCCCAGTCGTCGACAGCCGCTCCGTTAATTTGTCCCCGGCTGCCATTCTGCCGCTCCCCGCATCTCTTTCTCCACCTTGTTCACTCGGCGGAAGGTGTTTTTATTACGACGTGCTGCGTTCTTTGAAGTAAGAAACAACAACAAAATGACATGAACCCAAGTGTACAACCTCTGATAGTTACTCCTTTCTACTGCTCTGACTCCGTCCGTCAGTGGGGAAACCGACTGCGCCGTGACGAGGATGGTTTGGGCGGAGCAAGATGCCAGGTCAAGCAAGTTGTTTTCATCTTCTGCTTAATCCACAGTCAACTAAATCCCTCGCATTCTAATTTAACCTCGGACAACACACCAACTTTTTATTGGATCACAATAAGCGCTTTTTTAATCCTCAGGTTGATGGAGTTGCCGATAACTGTACTCATGTGGAGCATACACTCAGGTACTTGAGTAACTTTCTATTATAAATATAGTACACACTGTTTACTGTATGCTCATCACCTGACCTCCAAATGGCGCAGCAGATAGAAAATAACATTCAAAAATGTCACAGTAAGAAGTTGTAAACGTGTGGTGCAGTTTACAAGCAGGTTTTTCACATTATATTCGTGACAATATAGTAAAAATAAAAAGTATTAAGGCTACTTCTAAAATTACAATGTAATCAAAAATATTATTCAACTAAATGTAATTAATTTCCTACCACCTCCGACAATAAGTGTTGCTAAAATTTCCACAGAATTCAAATGAAGACACAAGCATACATTTTCAAAGCTCACTTTTTCCCAGCATAAAACTTTTTAATTCAGTTTGATGACCTAAGTGTGCTTGAACAACCACCGGTGCCAAGATAACTTTTATGTGTTCTGCTAGTGCTCCAAAAGCCACTCAGCAGATAGGAAATAATATTAACAAGTTTGTGTGTTTACAAGAAATCTCCATGGGACTCTGTGGGTGTGTGGTTTACGCTAAATTAAAATGTTCAGTTAAGCAACTAGATAGGGGAAGAGTAGCTACTATTTAGCATTACTTAAGAAAATCTTACACAAGTAAAAGTATCACAAAAATGAAAGGAAAATGATACACAGTTTTCACAAGCTTGCACCAACACAAATCTGAAAAGTGTGGTGTGCGTTTTCTCCAGGTTTTGAGTCAGCACTTTTTAGAAACCCCATTCTTCCCATCTCGAGGCTGTTTTTTTAATTTATTTATTTATTTTTCAAATTTTCATTGCAGAATCCCTGAAACTCTGTCAGATTTGACACTTTTAAGAGAAGGTTTGCCATATGCTCTCTGTTTTATTTTGGTCTGGAATTCAAATGTCTCCAAGATGAAGAATGCACGATTTTAGGAAGATATGAATTTATGATGACATTCTTTGGATACAACCTCTGACGTCCCATAGCCATTTAAAATGTTGGTAACCATTTAGTTTCCAGGGTGGGAGTGTAGTACCCCTCAAAGCACATCAGTCTCATATCTTAGCAACAAGTATGCTGTGCCAGCTTCCTGTTTCCTGCTTTACACAAAAAAAGCAATGGAAAACATGTTCAATACCTAACTCACGAACAAGTCCCCTACTCTCTTCAGCCTTGGCTGAGCTGTCCACGTGGACAAGTACATACGCAAAATATCAATGTGTTTCACTTGAAATATAACTTTGCAAATACAGCCTCCATGGAGTCCTTTAAAAACACCCTATTGTAAACATTTATACTACGACCATTGATGATTATGATTCCATATGTTGTGCAGATCTAATCTAAACCTTTTGTTGTATCTCTAGTTGTTGTCCTGCTGGAAGGTAAACCTCCACCCCAGTCTCAGGTGCTTTGCAGCTTCCAGCAGGTTTTCTTCCACAGTTGCCCTGCAACATTTATTTCCATTCATCTTCCCATCAGTTTTGATCAGCTTCCCTGTCCTTGCTGAAAAAAAAAAAACATCCCCACTGTGTGACATCAACAAGATTCACCATGGGGAAGATGTACTTATTGTGCTGTTCCCACTGGTTAAACGTAGTCTGTCGGAGAAGGTCCAGGCACTTTGCATCAAACTGGTCACCCTCGTTTTCAGAAAGCATGTGATAACAGTGGAAAGGAAGCACAACCCAGTCTTAGCAACCATCTGCAATACTTAAATCTGCAATGTTGAAGATTGGGACATGAGTAAGCTTAAGACAATTGATGTGCAAGCTGGCAAATCTACAGCAGCTATATAATGCCAAGAAGCTAATATAGACCAAAATCTTAGTGCTTTTGATATATTTTATCATTTATGCCACTAAGAATCAAGGCAGCTCTGCAGGCAGTAGGGTGTCCAGCCGGTACTGACAAGGCATACCAAATAAAGTGTCTGCTGAGTGTAGATCTCATAAAAGTCATAAAATTCTGACGCATATTAATACATTTTGATAACCATTCTTTTAGGTTATGTGACGCTTGAGAAACTTTCAGGAAAAAAAATCATCCGCGGTTCTCACAAGTTAATTTGAAAGCTTCAAAATGTTCCTCAGTTTCCACACAATGGACCAAATAAAATTTCAGCCCCTGTAAGGATGCTAACTTTAGACATGATCGTCATATCACATGCTTGACAATCATGCATTTTTGATGAATAATTAAAAGTAATTTCTGTGTGTCTGAATGAACTGTTCAAACTCTGTCACTCCACAATAATCTCTGCAGGTTACTCCCACATTGCCTTTGCTGCTCCATCCTTTTGCTGTTATCACATAAACCTTTATGTATTTGGAACCGACAAGCTGAGTCAAAATTTCAGGGTGAATATAAAGTTCTCTTATCTTGAGCAGAGAGCAGCTCACTAATGATTTATACTTTTTGGGAGAACAGTTTCTCTCAGATTCAATGTTTGGACATTGTCCGCCATCAGTTTTGCTTCTTTTACTTGTTTGCATTTTTTTTCTGAAATAAAGCACTCGTACCTTATCCTTGATGTTTGAATATCTAATGAGTCCATAACAGGACTTTTTGTAAGAATATTCCCAATCTTTTAAACGATCAAGACATTTTCATGTCTGAAGGTTAACTCTGCTTCTTACTTAGTCTGAAATGATTTATCAGTGGCAACTTACAAAAAGATTAAGATAATAAATCAAAAAGTTAATGGAGTTCAGGTGTGTCCAAAAATTGTCCCAGGTCTACTCAGTGTAGTTTGTAAGTGGTCCAGATGTACACATTTGATGGCTGAATCCTCTGCTTCTCTTTGTATGACACATACAGACCCATATAGACCCACATCCTCTAACTAATTTCAAACATATCATGACAGGAAGCTGAAGTACATTTTGATGTTTACCACAGATACTTTGCTAAAGTGTCTGTGACTTTGCTAAAGAATTCACTTGAATTAAAAAAAAATGACAAAAGATCAGGTTTGTTCAGGTGTTTGTAAAAGAATGCTGTGCTAATTTCGTTTCTAACAGGCCAAAAGGGGACTTGAGTGCAAGAAGAAGGAACAGAGAACTAATTTATTATCTAAGCTGATGGGGCAAAACCTGAAGTTTTGTAAGGGAGATTTTTTTTTTCAGAATTCACCAAAGGTCAAACTAACCGACAACTGACAAGCTAGGACAACTACAAAGACTCGGTGAACTTGCAAAAACAGAAAAAGGAAGCCTTGCTGAAAACTAATTGAGAGAGATGGAAACTTAGACCTGTTGTGTGACTAAGGTAGAAACTAATAATAAAGTCTCTGCAAATCAACAAGGGAACATCTCCAACCAGATAAGACAGAAAGTAAACATGACCAGGGAGGAGAATCAGTTATAAAAAAATAACTTGTTTCTGATGAGGACACCCAAAACCAAAGCATATGCAGATCTGAAACTTTAATTCAAAGCCAACTGTTTTTATCAGTGACTTCAAAAATTTCGACTTTATCCTGCACAAGATGAACTCTCCGAGGGAAGAACATTGGTTCCATGACATCTTACTCATCCTTTGGAACCCAAGCAGATCTGTCTGTCCACAGCCACAGGAAGAAACTAAAATCCACCGGGATCAGTTCCTGCTCCATGAAGACCATAGTAGAGAGGAGTGTGGCTCCAGTTTCAACTCAGCTTTTTCACTGAAAAAAATAACTCTTTGGATTAACATAAAAAAATCATGGAATGATTTTCCACCTGATTACTTT